TCTATTATAAGTGCTTACTAGTATATATATATATAGTACTTTTTAAAAAAATAGTACCCTTAAATAAGTAGCTAATTAGTTAGTAGCTATTAAGATAAAAAACTAGCTTTATCTTATAGCTACTAATTAATACTTTATTAAATAGACTTTCTTAAAGGGAATCTTATTACTCTAGACCTAATATAAAAACTATTAACTAATAGTTAATATAATAGTAAGTGAAAAAGTAAATCTATAGATAGTATTTAAAGTATTTATTTACTAATTATATATTAACCTAAAGCTTTAAGTAAGGTAACTATATAGTTAGCTTTATAAGGCTAGCTAAAGGGTAAAGTAAAGTCCTTTATAATTCTTTACTAAATAGTTAGTAATCTTAGGCAAAAGATAAGGTCTAATATAGAGGCTAGCTGTTCCCTTAGTCATAGTCTATTCCTAATAGTGACTACACTTAATGTAAAATATACTCTATAGTAGTAATACTTCTTGTCTAGCTAACACTTAACAAGAGAAGTTATACCTCCCCAGCAGCCACACTTCCTTCTATTAACTAAGCAACGCTGTCCTATGTAGCAGTACATCAGGACCTCTTTAACGCGCTAGATAGCACATGCTATTATATAGTGGTTTTAGTTAGTAAAATATAATAGTAAAGTAGAACTACACTTGTTACTGCTACACTAGAACTTAAGTACTATTTACTAGCATAACGTAAAATAATTTATATTGTGATACCTAGGGGCAACTTAGTTAGCGCTGTGAGCTAAATACCCCCTCCTCACGGAGGGGGCGAAAAAATAGGGTTACCACTCCGAAAAAGGGGTTACTAACCCCTATTATAAATACCCTTACTTTTATGTACATTATATAGTATAGTTAACTTTTTATTTCTTAAAGTAATAATGCCTATAACGTTATATAATAACAAGAGTAGTATTAATTAATAGCCTTAATTAAGGGCTTTATAATAGTACCTTTTTTTCTTTTTTTATATAATAACTATAAATTTATATTACTACTATAATATAGGTATTACTTTTATTATTATTTACTATATATTACTAGTCTTTTTTTATTTATATTAATAAGGGTATAAATAAGTAATTTTATAGTATAACCTCTATAGCCCTCTAGCTATTTATTTTATTCTTTATAGTGTAATATTATAACTTATATTATAAGGGACCTTATAATATTAAAGGGCTAGCTATTAGTGTTATTAGTAGTAATAGTAATAATATATAACTATTATTATTATTATTACTTCTAGGTATACTAACTAATTCTTTACTTAATATAACTAAATTAATGTCCTTGTTAATAAGGTTATTAATGTTTATAAAGATCTTAGGGTTAAATTCTAGCCTTACTGCCTCTATAGCTATATTAGCTAATACCTAATTAATATTACCTTAACTAAGAGGTCTTACTATATACCTAAATTAGTTAAGTATATACTATAGTAAAGAAGCTAGGTTAAGGTTAATAGTAAATTTCTCTTTACTTTTAGTATTATTATTATACTACTATAGATCTAAAGGGTTAAATAAGATATATAGTTAATTTTCTTTAGTATAGACTAGCTACTATTTAAAGGTTAGTTACTTTATTTATTTATTTACCTTTTAATACTTAGTAGTACTATATTACTATTAGACTTCTTTTTTTTACTTATAGGCTATCTTTTTTACTACTGCCTATTAGTACTATATTTTTACTTATATTACCTTTATAACTTACTTATTATATACCTCCTTTATATTTATAATAGTAACACTAGTTATAAAGGAGTATTATAGTTTAATAGCTTACTAGTACTAGCTTTTCTATTACTATATTTCTAGTTTAGTATTTTAGTCCTTAAGGTATTACTACTAGTACTTATAGGTAAAAGATTCTTTATAAATTACTTACTTTACTACTTTAAATCTTCTCTTTAAAAGACTACTTTATATATTACTATATTTTTCTTTTATATAGTTAGTAATAAAGATTACTTTATTAAAGTAGTTATTATATAGTAAATAATAAATAAGATATAATAGTATATCCTTATTACTTTATTATATTCTTTTAACTAGTTAGCTAAGTATAATATTATTATATATAGGCTATATATCTACCTTCTTAAAACCTTTTATAATATAGGCAGTAGTAAAGGCCTCTTTAACTATAGTATTAAGGGTAGTAATAAAGTTACCTCTTATAAATATAAGGTTGTCTTCTTATATATACCTATAAAGCACTATCTATTAGGCCTTCTTAAAGTATTAAAAGACTTTTATATTTATTAGTTAAAAAAAGTATATTATATAAGGTAAAAAAAAGGTAAAAATAATATTAAAGTTAATATAATATTTTATAAGCTTTAGACTTATATAGCCTATAAATTTATTAAAAAGAAGAAAGTAATATAGTTACTTTAATTTTTTTATAGTATCTTAATAGTTATAATACTTTACCTTTTATTTACTTAGTTAACTATTAAGTAAATATAAATTATAAGTATTATAACTATATATATTAATACTAAAATAGTCCCTAAAGAAGTAGCTTATCTAGTAATACTTTATTAACCTTATATATAACTTTATATTAAAGTACTATATATAGTTTATTATAATCTCTTAGTTAAAGAAGCTAGTTAGTAAATATATAAAGTAAATACTTTCTTAGACTTAGTAATCTACCTAAGTAATAACTAGCTATATTTTAAAGATTATATATACTAAGATAATATTACTAAATATATTACTAGACCTAACTAAAGTATATAACTTTTAATTAGCTAGATCTATAACTTTAGGTAAGTAGTTATATTTTAGTAGCTACTTAAGAATAATTATATATAGCTAGCTACTAAAGTAGCTAATCTAGTACCTAGATTTATTAGTGTTCTATATCTTAGATAAGCTAATATTATACTTATAAAAAGTAGCCTAATACTAGGTAAAAAAGTCCTTTATTAAGGCTAGGTCTAACTTAGCCTTCTTCTAGTATAACTTAACTAGTTTAATAATACTTTTTTTCTAGAGCTCTAGATAGTTAATAAGCTAGCTTTAGATAAAGTACTTAAAGACTAGTAGTTAACCCTAGATACTATAGAGGTAGTTAGTTATTTCTTTAACCTAGAGTAATAAAGCTAAAAAGCTAGATTTATAAAGCTATATAATAAAGACACTAAAAGCTATATCTTTAGCCTCTATAAGTAACTAGGGCTAGCTAGGCTTATCTAGGCTAATATAAAGGTTATAGCTTTCTTAAAAGGCCTAGAGGTACTTCTAAATTACTATATAAGATACACTATAATCCTAGGTAGCCTAGTGTATAAAAGGTATATTAGTTACTAGCTTACTTACTTATTAGTAAGTTACTTATTAATAAGTAATATATAGTATCTTAGCTACTTTTTTAGTAGTAGTTATATTTTTATTATATTAGTAAAGTATATTAAAAAGTTAAAGTAAAGTAAATAGTTTAGTTACTATTAATATCTATTAATAATATATTTAAATAATTACTTGTTTTTAGTAAGAATATAATAAAAAGTAGGACTAGGTTAAGACAAGTAGTAACCTTATTTTCCTAGTAGTAACCTTATTTTTTTGCCTCCTCTATAAGGAGGGGGTGTTTAGCTTTGACAAAGGCTGACTAACACCCTTGGGTAGATGCACTTCTTTAAAATTAGCACAAAAATCAATATATAACACCAGGTATTTGCTGGTCGTCACTAACCCAACTACTAATCCAGCCCTCACTGGCTTATCTATGGGAGAGCGGACGGGATCCCGAGTTCTCCAGTGGGTATGGTCGTATGTGGTTGTTTGCGGAAGTCTCTGAACTTATCACAGCCTCCTTCAAGTCCTACGGCATCAGGCCGTCCAAGCACGTGGTACCAGTCGGTCGTGATGGCATGCTCGCGGCTCATGACCGGGCTATCGAAGTAGCAATTGTCGCCCTTTGCCTCCAGGTGGTTGAATCGCTTGCTGGATCGGCGAATAACTAGGACGCTGGTGTTGCTTTGCTCAAGGATAACTGTCCGCTCTGGGTAGAGTAATTCGGACGAGCTGTCCCATGAGCCAAAGCAAAGAGACCAAGTCAAACACAACCAATCTATTTAGTTCTAGACAAGGCACGCTAGAACAGCCGCCCCAACTAGATGTACGTTCGAACAAGACCGTTATTATCATTGGGTTGCGCCCAAGGGCAGCTGCTCCCTCGCCACATGGCGACGGTGACGTCGATGGCGACGACGGCGACTGAGGGAAGAGCTGGGGCAACGAATATGAATTGATGAATTTGATTAGGGCAATTGATCATTGATTGATTGGTTGATTGATGATGTTGGTGTTGATGTTGATGCTAGGTTCCGAAAATCCCATCAGCAGTGCATTCATCCGGCATCCGTCTTCTGGCAACGAAGCAACACGCCCATCCGTCCATGGCTTTTTTTTCTTCTGTCAGACATACCCGACCCAGATGCCGAGGAAGAGAGTTCGTTTTCTTCCCTTTGCAACTGCCGCCCCGACATTGACCTTGACGCCTGCCCAGCTGCTTTCCTTTCCACCCGCTTGACAGTTCCAGCATTGTCCGCTTTTCTGTGTACATTCCCAATCTCTTGTATCGCCGCCGTCATCAGGCGGGACCCGCAAGGCTTTGCAAAAACACGTGGTTATATGCTATACCCCCCCTCCGCTCCGTCCGCGACGGGCCCCTGGACTGGAACCGGAACGCCGGCGCGGCGCGAAGCCATGGCCATGCATCATGGCATGGGGCACGTGACTGATGTGCGCGATGCTAGCAGCATTGGCGCACGCGATACAGTCGCTAGATGTTGTTGCCGTTGGTATGGCCAGAACTTGCGCCATGTCGGTCAAGCAGCGCAGTAAGATGGATGGTGTGACTCGGCGGGTAGTCATGGGCTGCCCCGTTCTGTCGACCTTGTTCGTTGTCGTCGTTGTCGTCGCGTGACTTTCACTGCCATCATCGACGCCAGGCGGTCAGGCGACTTCGTCGTGGTCACCCATGTACAGGGAGGGGAGGGTTCTCTGGCCAGCGGACGTGGCGGCCTCTATCGTCTTGGGGTTGAAGTAGCACTCGACGCGGCCCTTCTTGACATTTGTCTGATGGCGGCGGCGCTGGTTCTCGGGGGTGGTCGGTGGTAGGAGGGTTGGGCATGTCCTCAGCCTTCCCGGGAACTGTGATTTATTTCATAGTGGTGATGACGATGGTGGACAGGTAGAAAGAAACGACGGGGTAGAAAAATGGACCGTACTGCTGGCGTATACGAGGTCGAAGTGAGGCCGATGAAGTTGCTTCGCCGTCATGACGTGAAGTCTGGTATGGGTGTGTGAGTGAGTGTGCGAGTGAATGTGTGAGTGAGTGTACATGTGTGGCTGGCAGGTCTGGCAGGCGATACTGGTATCCATCCCTCATTCTCTCTCCCCTTGTTTCTGTTCGACGCGGGGGGCACAGGCGGCGAGAAAACCTTTCGACTGCATGCTCGCATGTTACACACAGTCGGTCGAGTCGGAACGGACACGCGGGCAACGCCTCAAAAGCGACAGGCATCGCCGCAAGTGTCAGACATGGCGCCATCCATCACATCTCGAGCTTTTCTTAGTACCATACGCTACGCCCAACCTCTCGACCACATCGCGCCGACTGTCCCATATCTGCATATCTGTCGAGTGGGTCGTTCGACCATTGGTCCATCCCAGGTCTGCATTTTCCTACAGTCCGAGTCATATTCATCCCCGTCTATAACGGAAGCGGTTGAGGGCAGCGAAACTGATGCCGAAGAGGAGGCAGCGGCCGGCCATCCTGTTTTGGACCGTTTTCGTGTTGCATCCGAGCGACGACGCAAATTCGTCAACACCAGAGCTATGAGACATGCGGGCTTTTGAATATGGAGTGCCACGTGCCTTGGTTCCTCTACGATGCATCTGCTTATTCAGAGCTAGGCACGGCCCGACCCTCATTCATTGCATTCCCCACCACTCGCCATGTCCCTCATCATCCCAGGGTCCGCCCCGCCCGCCCCAGCTTTCGGCTGTCGGACATGGACACCATGACAATGCAACTCACTCACAGTGACGCAAGATAGACGGAAACGTGTGCGTGCGTATGATTGGCTTCATAATTTGTTATTACCATCCGGTGAAACTCAACCCAAGGCGGCAGGACTCATCCGTCGTCGTCCATGGTGCACGCATGCATACCCGGTTCGCAAATGCTGGCCTCATTGGCCATCGGCGTTCGTACGTGGGGCGGGGTAGTTAGTATAAGCCTAAGGATCAGGCGTGTATCTCCTAAACCCTCTAGGTCTGCACGTTTAGTAGATATTTACACCTAGAAAGGACACTAGTCTAGTAAGATTATACTGTTTAGGAGACAAAAAACTAATATTAGATGGATCTCTGTTAGATTCCTTATTGAATACTGTAACTTTGTTATTATATGTCTTAGACGGATGCTGGTGGTAACATAACATGCTTACCTCTTCTACTTAGGTTCTGGCCCCCCTCGTGTGTTTGGCTGCCTTGAGAGTATTTAGATTTATGACTGTGTGTTTTATAACGTATTATGGTCTGTACCTGGAGATGAAATATAGCGGCAGCATTGAATGGTGTGTAGACGAGGGACGGGTGAAACCACGGTACTAGGCAGCCTTCTCCGAGAGACATATGCAGCTTTTAGGCACGTTTATCGTCCCTGGGCTTGTATGCAGCCCTAACGGCCGGAACCTCGTGTACCTATGTGAGCACAGCTTCTGGGACAATCCTGTGTCATACGAGTCCATGGTATGTTTTAACCTTGCCATGGGGATAGAAAATGGAACAGCGAGATACGACAAGTTATCCGTACCGTATGCAAAGTATATAGGCAAATACTGCTCCGCCAGGATTGCTAAGTGTTATCTACTCAGCGTCTGCATAGGCATAGTAAGACTTGTAGTTGACTTCTACCCTGACCTGTAGCGCATAGGCTTTGATCTCTGTGAACCCCTGCTTCCCTAGACTATAGAGTAAGAGCTTGACCTAGCGATTTTGTTTATACCCTACCAACCTGTGGCTACTGACATGCTTCCACGAATGTACATATACCCTAGTAAGTCCACTATAATAAACTTTATGTCTATTGTGCTGGACGGCTTGCTTACTCGCAAGAGAGACGGGATTTCAGAGACAGTAGCGTCTGCAGTGGTGTCATCCAGAATGGTAGTGTGCTACAATGTGGACCTTAAGAATCGCCACATAAACTTAGGAACATTTGAGAACATTAGTGGCGGTGATTACGTTCAGATGTGGCGGACATACACAAAGTCTCGCTGCTCGCTTACGCTTGCGACCAATGGTCTTCCCGACGCTGAAATGTCACTTTGTACTCGTCAGACGCGGTTGTGAGAAGACCCCTGCAAGCAAATACTTAAAGGTTTCCCTGTGGTACGGAATCAGCCATACGGCAACGCTGCCGGTACATCTATGGAGGGATCAACAAGTATGTCAGTGACGGTATTAAGAAGATGGTTAAGGGCAAAGCGGCGAGGTTCACCATTGAGGAATCGTCGCTCATCTCTACGTCAGAGTGCCGGTGGAAGACATTCAACAGTCTTAACGGGACAGTGGGTACGCTTGACGCCCAGAGTAAGTTCGACCCCAAGGTGCCGCGACAGATCATGATTGCTAGACGGGAAGGTCTCTTGATGAATGGAGAAGTTTCCTTCCAGCTCCAAGCGAACAGGCAGGCCGCCGCTGACGACGATACACCTTTCTCCTCGGACGATATCGGAGAAAAGCACTTTCAGCGACAATTTCTGGCGAATTGAATCATTGACCATCATGGTGACGATCCAGCGAATGAGACCCTCGACCACCATCTCTGAGAAGAAGGCGAAGAATCCATTCCAGAAGATAGAGTGGTAGACTTACTGGCCGATTTGCTGCGAAAGATGCACGGCCCTCAGATGCTCGACGCGGCTTGCAAGGTCATTCAACGCGACCTTGTGGAAAACAGGAAGGCTGTACTTGGCGTCGGATTTGAATACCTGCTTGTTGGCAGGCATTCGACTGGCTTCTCTCATTGAGACTGGCGTTGGAAAGCTGGCGCGATGGTCAAAGTAGACATGGTGCGCACATCCTTCAGCGCGATCGGAGTGGACATGGGCGTTCCTGAACCCAAGTCAACCACGCAGGGTCTCGAGGCCACCAGGCCGGTCAAGGCGGAGATAACCCCGAGAGACGTACGGGCGTAGGAGCTCAAGCGACCTTCTCGAGAGAATCAGATACCTGGTCTTGGAGCAGTTGGTCAGAGAGAAGACGAACCTCGACGCCATTGCATTCACACGAGTCCACAATGAGACAGACCCCAAGCCAGAACACTCGACGAGATGCGGTGACATTCGACCTGTATTTCATTTCCATGGTTGATAAATTTGATAACACAAAGGTTGCCCTTCGTGATTTCGAGGACGTTAGAAGTCCATATTGTGCTTCTTGACGAACACCTCGGGAAGTGTCATGACAAAAAGAGGTAGTCCTCCAGTGCCCACTGCGGCGTTGATGACTTTGAGTAACTTGACAGACGCTTGTGTGCCTTGGAATTGCACACTGCCTTCCCTGGCTTCCAGATGTGTAGATCTGATAGGCGGCGCTACCGGGACCAGCGACGTCGTTGAAGTACCCGTGGTGGTGGTGTTATTGTTGATGTTGGTCGACGATAACAAGCTCCCCTATGGTTGCGTGACACAGCTAAGTATTTCGCAACAGACTCGAATTGAACACATGGCATCCTCCTCCGAAGACAAGAATTTCGTGGCTTTTGCATCCCCCAAAGTCCAATGCTGCCTGTTCTCCTGTTCTTGGGCTAGGCTCGGAGGTGCTGCTGACTACTGCTGACAGGGCGTCATTAGAAGTGCCTGTGAGAGCAGACTCGACATATTACTCGCGCGGATTGGCGGAACAAGGTTCGTAATGGACGATGCTGTGCAGAAAAGAGGGCAGTGGTTAGCGCAAAGCGACGGGAGTAGCAGGGAGACGTCGAGGGAAGAACGGGATGCAAAAAACAGAGAAATAGGAATGCTTAGGCAACTAGTTGTCTCGTGGCTGCTTGACAAGCCTAGACACGGCGGGGTCGTGTATGCTGGCTGGCGGACTCTCGTGGGGGCAGGTCGGAAAGCTGGAGAAGTGGATTTCCAGACGGCAACAAATGTGGAACAAAGGACGGTTGACAGTTGACAGTGTTGAATAAGAAACCAATAGTCGTAAGAGTGGTTGGGCCGGGTTTAATCAATCATGGAGGAAGAAGAGAAGAGAAGATGTTGGCGAACTTGAAGGTTGAAACGTTGTGGATGTAAATGCAAGGAAGAATCGGGAGGAAGAAGGAAGGCGCGGTGGTGAGTGAAGAATCGGGAAGGAACCCAGCCTGGCCAAGAAATGAATGACATCCAACAACAAAACGAACAAACGTGATGAACCGCAGCGTCTGGTGAACTGAGAGAGAAGTTGTTGTCTACGTACGAGAAGACTTCCTTGTCATGTGGGTCCATCTATTGGTAATCCGCATCTGTGGCTCTCTTACCACTGGTTCCAGCCACACGAAGCTGTTCCGGCTTCACGACAACAAACAACAAAACCGCACCGTCTTATCGGCGCATAAATCCACCGTTTCTCCCCCCCCCCCCCCCTCTCTCTCTCTCTCTCTCTCTCTCTCTCTCTCTCTCTCTCTCTCTCTCTCTCTCTCTCTCTCTCTCCAGCTTCTCTTCTTTCACACCAGCGGTAAACAATTGTCCACCTTGACTTTCTTCCCTACCCGCGAGCACCAAGCCAAGCAAACAACACAAATTCACCCTCACCACCACGATGCCCAAACGAAACCGGCAACTTGCGCCACCGCAGTTGGACAGCGCCCGCCGCCGTCTCGCTCGTTACGTCGATCGCAAGCATCGGGTTGAAATCTCCCGCTCCGCAACACCTACGCGCCCCGAGGCACTCGGAATCACCGGGCTCCCACGCGAGGTCCTTGGCGCCATCGCTCAACACCTAGTTGATGCCGACTTCTCTTCCGGGGGACTTCGCTCACTGGCTCACCTGACATCTGCTTCTCGGGCTTGGCGCGTCATCGCTAACCCTCTGCTCTACGTGCTGGCAGCTCAATCCGACATACACCACTTTTCACCCTCGTATCAAGACCCGTGGAAGGAAACCTCCTCACACAAAGAGTAGGCCGTCTTCAACAACCATAACATCCTTCTTGTTTACAATCAGAACCCAGAGCTAATCCGTGTGAATCGTCACTGCAGCCAAGACCCCATTCTTATCTCCGCAGCGCGGCAGGGAAACCTCCCACTACTTCGCCGTCTCGCCTCCCACCTTGCTTCAGGAGGATTCCCGCACCCCGCCTCCCTCTTCACACGCGAGTTCCTCGTTTCCTGGAGCTGCATACGCGGTGACCATGATCTCAGTTACCGGCCTGCTGGTGTGCCGCGCGCTACCATGCTCCATGCCGCAGCTGCCTTTAAACACGACGAGGTGGTGGAATGGATTCTGTGCCACCCGGGTATTACTGTCGACTGCGACGCGTACCTCTGGTGCCTCTGTCCGTCCACGCACATGCGCCTCACACCTTGGAGTTGCAGCTTGGAGCCTGGAACGAGTGTGACGCCTCTTCACCTCGCCCTCGCCCATGGTAACGAGTCGACCGCTCGAGTCTTGATTGAGCACGGCGCCGTCTGGGATCGTCCCTTGCCGCTCAGCAGGGGTATAACGGGTTTACACCTCATGGCCTGCAACGGACTGTCGCAACTCATCCACTGGATTGCTGACGAGAACGACGCCCGGCAACAATGCCAGACAGAGGTCATCGATCGGCAACGCCAACGACCCGATGGTGGCGGAGAACACGATTGGCCCGACGACAGGGGAAGGTCGGCGTTGCACTTCGCTTCCTTTGCGCCGGCAACAAGGACGGGAGCACACGGCGACGACCTTGCCGCCGCCGCGCGGCTGGTGAACGGTCTCATGCGTCTAGGTGCCTTGTGGAACACGAAGGACCGGGCTGCGATTGCACGACGGATCGCGGCGGCGAAGCAGCGTCTCATGGCGGAAGAGCCATCTTGCGGCGACGAGGGTTCGGGGGGGGCCAGGATGGCGATGGAGACAGGACGGATGGGAGATTGAGGTGGTTCCTTGCCGTCTGTCACGAACAAGAGCTGATGGAGGAACGGTGGGCCCTGAGACCTCTGCCAGTCGAATATGCGCTGTACGCCGGCAACGGGGCCGTTGCGGTGGCGATCGCGGCCTCGGCGGCGCGTCAGAGTGCCTGCGGCTAGTTGACCGACTGAGTAAGTGAGATGAGGCGTGCATGGCCATCTCTTGAGATGGGCCGAGCCCGTGACTCGGTGGAATTGAGCAGAAGCAAAAAAACGAGAGCAAGATTAGCACGGGTCGGAGTGTGTGCGGTCTCTAGGGCGATGCATCGCAAGTGGTGGCGATGGACGCAAGTGTGTTGAGATGATCCAGTCGCCAAGCTAGCGTAACCAATTGATTGGCAACGCAAAGTCACATTTGCCGTGTTAAGAATGACGTACTACCTTCGGAAGTCCCCCTTCTAGGAAATGCCTGTTTGTGGCAGGTACTGTGGACGGTGGGGCAGACAGTGGAGGTTGGTACGCGAAATGGGTTCCAACCCCCACACTGTGTCACACTATGTCAGAGGTCTAACCTGCCTCCCTACACAACCAAAGTCCCCAGCCGCCATTGCCACCACCGCCACAGATACATACCGTTCGTTGCATGTGGCAGATAGTCGATAAGTAGGTATGCTTCTGTCGTGGTCGGACCCACAAAATCGAAAAAGTTCGGCTGTCGAACCAATCCGTTTTGTGGGCCCGCCCCAATGGTCAGGTTACCTACGTCCACCAGATGACTCCCTCACCCGCTCGCTTGCATAGCCACAGTACCACCTGCATGGCATGTACTGCCGCCGATGTGTCTTGGCCAACACCATCACTGCACACCTACCTGCACCTCGCATCCTGCGCACTGGTGGGGAAGGCTGCTCTCATCAGGACACAGCCAGGTAGGTAGACGTGTAGTTTGTGCAGCAGGAAACAGACAGACGCCCCAAGGAGAGCGCTGGTTATCAGTTCATGAAAACTACAGAGAAAAAGAAAAAAAAGAAAGCCACGCGCCCCGAGCATCAAGCAAATATCAGCATAACAGAAGCAAACAGCGCCCAAGCAGTAACACAACAACACTCAATATGCCCCGTAAACCTCACAGAATCTTCTTGACCCTCTTCTTGACCGTGATGGCCATGTCCTTCTCGATCTCGTTCCTCTTGGCCACGGACAAAAGCCCCGCGAGCCGCTCCCTCCCCACCTTGCGCGCCGACCTGGCCGCTTCCACGGCGTATATGCTCGCCACCTTGTCCTTGTCCACGGCCGCAGCCGCCTCCTTGCGGGCCGCCGCCCTCGCCTTACGCTTCGCCTTTTGCGCGTTCTTGTTGCGTTGGCGCGCCTCGGCCTCGGCGACAATGGCGCGGTGCTTGCTTGTCGTTGGGGCCACCGGCATTCCCGGTCGGGACAGCATGTGGGAAATGACGCCGTCGACGGAGCATTCTGACTCGTTGCCGTCGTCCACCTGCGGTGGGGGCGAGTGCGAGATCTGCGGCTTTGGTGGCGCCGCGTCTCCCAGATGGACGGGGGAGAAGCCGGGGTATCCCTCCATGGACAGGGGGGGTGGTGCGGGCGCAGGCGAGCGTGGCGCTTCCTTGACGGCGACGGGAGACAAGTCTCTCTCTATAGAGAGGGCAGGCGGGGCGGCGTCAGGCTCGGCCTTGGCGTCGGCGCGGGCGAGCTCGGTGTCGCTGTCGTCGGACGGCTTGGGCTCGGGCTTGGGCTTCTTCTCCTTGCCTTCTTGATGGTGGGCTCGGAGCAGCTTGAGGGCCTGGCTCGGGATCTTGGCGCCAAACACCTGGCCTTTCGATGCGTTGATGGCCCGTATCAGCCAGCCCTGGCTCTCTTGGGAGTTGTTCTACATGTCCCAGAGAGGCCGGCCAGGCTCGAGGCGGAGATGGTGCCTCGTCAGGGCCACCATGCCGGAAACCAGGTCGCGGTTGGGGGTCTCGGCGTTGGAGAGGTAGCCTTGGGGATACCACACGCCTTGGGGCCAACTGTTGCGCAGGTAGAGGAGGTTCTTCTGGTACCGCAAGTCGGTGCTGGTAGCCTTGACGCCCTTGGCCGCGTATAGGCCCACGACGCCCGTGGTGGTCTCGTTGTTGTGGATCTGAAAACGAGCCACTTGGCGCCTGGTGGCGGGGGTGGTGTCGACGAACTGGGCGATGTGGGCGTCGGTCGGGTCGATGGTATAGTCATATGTGTTGACCAGACGCTGCATTTCGTGTTAGCTATAAACCTCGCAATCAAGATGATTGAGAGAGTTGTTGTCGAACCTTGTCATCGCTGGGAGAGGGAGAGGAGGGCGAGTAGTCCATCGAGAGGGAGAGGGAGGTAATCAGACAAGAATTGAAACGACGCGGAAATCAGACAGTAAGTGCACAAAAGAGGCTGAAAAAACAAAACGCTGGTCGGACGGTCGTGATTCTTGGCTCCCCGAACAAGAGGAGGGCGAAAAAAGAAGAAAAAAGGAAAGAAGAGAGAGACACGCCAAAGTACCTAGGGTTTGGTTGTGTGGGTGGGGGCACTCAGCCCTACCAGGCACATCTGCCATCGATTTTAGGATGTCTGCCGTAGGTACCTAGGTACGTACCGGGGTCTCTAAGTACCTAACAAAAATTTGAATTACCTAGGTACCTATGGGAACCCAGCTAGGCACTTAGATACCCATGTATTGTAGCAATTGAAGATAGATACGTACCGTTCGCAGTCACTTCCCATAACTCGTTTCACTTACTCAATCGCTTCGTGAGTACACACAACACACCACTGGCCAGTTCCCACACAGAAGCCATCATAACATTCATTTCCGTCCTTCGCAGGTTGCTTGTCCTGCCGTGTCTCTTCTACTTGGGCCTTGCTAACATGCTTCTCATATTAGCCACTCCCCCGTCTCGCCTCGTCTCACACACAACCTCGTCTTCGCTCCTCGCCCATCATGTCTACTACAGACCGTGACGACTTCGCCGGCCAGTCCCCCGCCCCCCGGCCCTCAACGCCCTCCTCCCAGGACCGCCAGGGAGTCCTCGCCAACTCGTCCCCTCTCTCCTCCGCCCGCTCCGACGTGTCAACGCCCTCCGGATGGAGCCCATCGTCCATCATGTCGGCAGAGCCACCTCGGCCGTCTCAAGTAGGTCAACAGCGTGTCCCCCTTGTCGACGCAATGCTGCATCATGTACACTTTTCTTAATCAAGCTGACGCCGAGTCCCGCCACTTCAGCCTCCCGAGACCTGGACCACCCATCATATCGTACAGCTATGCCGCATACTCGACACCCACTACGCTCCTTTCGCCCTCGGCGCGCTCGTCCGCCTGATGGGCAGCCGTGACTTTGCCCTTGTCGGCATCATGCTTGTGCGCATCCGCCAGTCGGCCCGTGCCGAGAGCGACAGGCGCCACTCGGGCATCGCTTACGCTTTCAACGTCCCAATCGCCCACCAGACCGGCGGCGGCTGCACAACCGTCATCAGCGGCGCTGACACCATGGTCCACCGGACCTTTGACTCTGGTGGAAACCTTATAAGCAGCCACGCCGTCGACCCAGACGACCTTTACCTTTACTAACCAGATGTTGATATAGCGTGGAATCATGCAGCAATCTACTTGTTCCCGAATGTTGTGAAGCTACCAGCTTGGTGTCGATGAAGCGCGCTGGGCTGTGTCCTCGTGATTGCATGCTGACTGCCTTGTCAGCGAAAAGAATATAGAGGACAACTCAAGTGATGCTGACCAGACATCTTCATCACAGTCACATGTCCCGTTGGCTATGGTGATTGAAAACTGTTCTTGTAGGCAACAAGTCTTGCCGTTTTGAGGACACGAAATGTCAACAGAAACTCCTGGATGTCTATAGACTATGTACTGAGTACGACCATACAAGATTGTTTCCTTGTGCACTCCCTTGATTCGTCAGACAGCCGGGTTTAGTTGTTATTGCTGTTGTTATTCTTGCCGAGCCCCGCCTTCAACTGCAACACCCACTTGCGGATTCCCATCGTGACTATATTTTTCTCGGTCGTTCTGCTTCTAGAGCCTTTTCTCACGTCTTCTCTCATACGTCGTTTATTTTCTCGCACCATCACCACTACTTCCTCTAGCAACAGCAACAGCAACATGTCGGGCGATAGATACAACCTTCGACGATCGGCCCGCCTCAAGGACCAGGGTGCCTCCAGTCCCCCGCACGCCAAGCGCCCCAAGGTCGAAGCCAAGCCAACAGTCACCGGTAAGTTGTCACTATACCTAAGACCCAACGAAGCGGATTCATCATACTTGGTGGTTTTAGATGGAGAGTCCAAGCCTGTGGCCAAGGCCAAGGCTGGAAAGCTACCTATCCTGTCGACCGACTTTCTGCTTTGGTCCCTGAGGGAGAACCAGGACGTCTCCTTCGGCCCTTCGCGTTCCCCTTCGCCCGTAAGAACCAATTCTCTGATTCAAGACTGCCTTATCTGTCATTGATACTGTTGGTTGAATGCTAAGCATTCTTTCAGGTCATCGCATCTTCGCCATTCCCCGACGACACCATCGACATCAAGGGCAAGACCATCGCCGTGGCTTCTGCGACTCCCAAGGCCAAGACGCAGAAAGAAGAGAACAAGGAGGAGAAGAGCCGTGGTGCCGTCAAGTCTCCGGAAGTCGTCAAATTCACTGATGATGAGCTTGTACTGGATGCCGCCATGGGCACTAGTGGGTATCACCACGCCCTCGTGTCCTTGGATCCCCAGACATGGCTCAACGACGACGCCGTCTTTGGGACCCTCGAGTTTCTGGCGAAGCGGGACGAAAGCATCGGAGTTATGAACCCGATCCACCTGAACGCCGCCTCGACGTGGGACGCGGCGCCTCCGTACTTTCGCCCTTATCACGAACGACGCCTCGGGGATAAGAAGACGTTGCTTATCCCGGCCTGTCGGGGTTCCCACTGGACCCTGTTCGTGTGGGACTCGGACGGCAGTATCCGCTTTTACGACTCGCTTTTCAGTCAGAGTCACCTGGTCGACGGCGCCGTCATGCTTCGAAAATTCTGGAGTGCCGCGTTTGGGAGCGGCAAGCCGATGCGTGAGCCCGTCCGGGCTGTTGTAAGCTTCCCGCCCCTCTGATGACATCTGGTCTAGAGACTGAAAGATTTATCAAGTGCGCACAACAATCAAACGGCTACGATTGTGGTCTTCATGTCATCCGAAACGGAGACGTGACCATCGGCCGGCAGGACGCCGACGGCCCCGAGCCCCCCGTCAGCCCCGTCCAGATGCGGAACCACTACCGCGACATCTTCAAGAACTGCATCCCCTGAGTGCGGTTGTTCTTTCTTGGTCCTGTTGTTGTTGTAATATTACCCTTTACCCTTGACCGGGAGACTTTTGTTTCTTGTTTGCTTTTCTTTTCTCGTCTTCTTTCTTTTTTTTCTTTCTTTCCGTTCAGCTTGACATTAGTTTGCTATTCAATCTGTTTGTGATGCCATGTGAGACCGGACGGACGCCTCCAACACGGAGGAAAGTGACGATACCTGAGTGCGCTTTGATCGTAGACACAGCCATGTCGCGTCTCAATGGTCAGGCATTCCCTCATCCAATAAGAGACTGTCTAAAGCAAAGCCAGCTGCATCAGACAAGGCGAGATGCAAGAGTAGGTCCTCATCACCCGGTACACCGCGTCTCTATTCCAACCCCGTGTCGGCGGCACCGCGAGGACCTCGGGTAACTCCAGCTACATTTCTCAAGACTCAACCTGCATTGTGATACCGGCCAGGCCTTTGACATGTCTCATTCCCGGGCGATCCCCTCACTGATCGATGCACCTGTCATCTACAATGACTACACTGCTGTGATGAACCGCAGTGTCTGAACACTTGCTTAGTTGAAAATAAGTTCCCTTTCCCTCTCCCTCCTCTCCTTCATCTTGAAGAAGAAGAAGAAGAAAACAAACACTCGAATGACCTCCCCAAGAAGCAGCCTCACGTCAGTCGCAAACAGGTATGCATGTCTATCCAAAATGGTCTCAAGACAAATGAATGGTCCTAACCACTCGTTATAGACTCACTTAATTAAAACCTGCTCCTGCTATCTCTTGAAGACCAAGCGCAAGATGCCTACTATTATTGCCATCACGCGTGAATCGGCGCGTAGAACCAACCGAACGCGCCTGGCTGACTACCCGGCTGGCAAGAATCTCATCTGGCACTGGAACGGCGAGGACAAGTGGGAGGCAGTCCCACAGTACAACCAGGACAAGAAACAAGAACAGGTTGGATCATACATTGCGGTCAAGCAGGATGAGGCAGAGAAGGAGGAGTACGCGCAGATGGAGACTTAGGACTGATGAATGATCTTCTGAATTCCTGTTTGCCGGAGGCTTTGCGCTGCGCAAGGGAAACGACAACCATGAGCACGCACGGTAACCATGGTTGAGTTGCAGCCTTCTGTCACAAGTTAGAGCACACAGCAGGGTATAGATAAATTAAGGTCTAAAAGGCTCAAATTGTAACAAGTAGAAATAAGGATATCATCCTGATATATATACATAAGATATAAATATAGGTAAGTTATATACTATATAAGAGACTATATAGTAAAGCTATTACTTAGAGTAAAAAGTATAAAGCTATTATAATATACCCCCTAATTATTTAATAAAGTAAATAATTAATAGCCTACTATCTTTTACTTCTGTAATACTATTAATAATAAAGTAAAGGAAATACTGTAAGAAGTATATTAATAGTTACCTTGTTATTATTATCAAAAGAGGAGGTATAAGAGTTTAACTACCTAGTAGAAATATACTTACTATATATATATAGTTCTTTTCTAACCTACCTAGTAACTTATTATTTTTTATCAACCTATCATTAATATTTAAAGGTATATAAACTATAATAATAAAATACCTTATAACTAGCTACACCTGAAGGGATTTTATAAGGGTATTAGCGACCAGTTAGCCCTTATAAGGCGTGTCAGCACACTTCTGACGACTTTTCTGTGATTGAAAGAGCCACGGGGCATGGTCTTGCGACTAGACTAGACACTGAGGCGCACTGTGGTTAGCTACTAGACACTTAGAAAGTGTTTAGGAGACAAGAAGACAAACCAGCTGGGCTAGATTGACGCACTAGCTTATCGATTGGAAAACAAGGCTAGGGTGACAGTGCATCCAGAAAGAGGTGATGGACGAGGTTTGAGTTGGTTTTGCCGGCGTCCCAGGTTTGCTTTGACGCGAGACAGCAAGAAGATGGACGCGTTTAGATGAGCCACGGCAGGCGGAAGGAATGAGAGGGCATGTGTCGCCACGAGGCTGGGATAATGGACTTGATGTCGTGTGACTTGTCTTGATGCCGGACAAGAGAGACACAAACGGTTGTGCTTCGTAAGTGAAGAAGACACACGACAGGCCGTCGAGGCTGTTGGCTGCGAAGGGGTCTGCAGAGCAGAGCATGTGAAGAAGTGATTTAGAAGGGAAGTAAGACACAGGCCTAAAGAAGGTACTATATGGCAGTGGATGGACTCTTTCCGTGAGAAACCGTGGAGGAGAGAGTGTGAGAGTGAGGCAGGTTGCGGGGAGATGGCTTCCTTCTGCTCCTCCTCTGATCTCCGTCGCAAATGTAGATAGCCAAGTAAGGTCTTACCTTGGGTAAGCACTTAGGGATGTAATGGATGGACGGATGTTGACAGACCAGATGGAGTGTCGCGGGTGATGGAAATCTGCGTCTAACAACAAAACTGCGCATCATATCCATGTCTGCGAGGATGACAGTGGACACAACAGCACCCAGCACCATCCACATCAGCTCGTCACGCAATACCGTAGGCAAGGGTGCTGTTCGGTGGTCAACTGGCAGGCCGAAGTCAAAGTCATCGTTGGCAGAAGAGCAATAACCAGCCGATTTCTATGTGTCGACTGACCACGATCGCAACGAAGATGGGTTGGTGTTTGCTTACGTTATGGACAGGCATTGAGTACCTATTCCAACCCTCATTGAGGACAGTAACCAAGTGTTGATCAGACTTATAACCACTAGCGCCAGCCGCCTTCATCTCAGCACTTACGGTTCTTTTTATTTATTGGCCACTTCCGATACCCTCCTAAGCTTGATATTCTGGTTGGCCGTCGCCCCCACATCTCGTGCTTCTAATTCATTGCAGCCACAGCACACGCAGCCGGCCTGATTTCCATTCAAACTAGGGATAGCTGCACCAGTGCAACAAACGGGACGATGAATACGAGTACCATTCCCATAATGTCCCACTTGGACCGGTTCGCCAGAGTGAGCCAGGACGGCCTAGAGTTTGGCTACAGCCGTCACGTGTTTCTGGATATCTCTGGACACGGAACCGGCGCCCACGTCTTAGGCGAGGGATTTGGCGTCTTGTTTCTATACAAGATAAATTTCAGGTACCGACTGCGGGCCTGAATCTCTGGCGCCCTTATGGCCTCTGGAAGTCGCAGCCGGGGTGAGACGGACGTGATACCCTCGATGTCCTCGGTCTTGTACGAGTGCCGCCTGTCGTTGCCGAAGGCGTCGTACCGCTCGCACGGTAGCCGGGAGTATAATTCGCGTCTCCACTGAACGCGCCTATGTGCCTATGTTGTCAGTTATCCACCGTGAACCCTATAACCAGCGACAGGAATGAACAGCTGCATGATGCCGTTGGACGAGTTCATCTTGAACGTCTATTGCAGAGACCACCGGTTGTCACCACCTTTGCGGCTGGTGGCGTCATTGACGGCACCGTGACATAAGGGAGTCCGCGGCCCTGTTGCTGTTGCTATATGGCCATTCTCAGAAGAGAAAGTACTACCACATGCTGAGCTATTTGCGGGCTGTGTTGGCTGTATTTCCGACTGCTGTAGGCAGCCCTTGTGCCGCCACTGGCTCCGGCACGCCGGTGTCGTCCTGGCCGCTCGAGAGTCCAGTTGACGTGATAGAAATGCAGGTCGGAGCGGAAGCACGGGTCATAGCGGCGCCGAAGATGCTCGTAATCCGCTGTTTAACAGGTTATGAGCGTTCAGTTGACGCTGCTGTGTTATCTGTCGATGCAATAGATTGACGCCGCCACCCAATATTGATTATTTGGAAGTAGTGGCCCGGGAAGCCCATGTCAAATAGCATCTCACTAAGCCGGAACCTTCGCGGTTCATGTCCCAGCAGCCGCCGTAGAAGAACCGCCAGCACCGACGCCTGCCCGTGTCTCGCAGTCCAACTACACTGCCGTGCCCCCAGAGGCGGAGCAATGGGCCGACATCATGCGCCACATCAACTCCATGCCGCCTCCCCGCCTCACCGTCCAGGGCCCGACGACCTGGTGGAATATTGATACCTTGGTTCATGCCGGCGACATGGTCGGCCTTTTGGTTGCAGATGCTCTTCCGAATCACATGAAAAGCTTACCTGACAACACAGACCGTTGTAAGAACAACGGCGAAGATTTCGCGGGCTGGCAACGAATGGCGTTTACTAAAATAATCCATGAACTTATTGGCAAATGCGGTTGACGACGCGTCGTTTGACAACGGCCAGCGCCTCACCAGGCTTATTGTTGCATTGCGCATTCTCAGTCACGGGCAGCAATAGGGACTCCATATCAATCACAGCTTGGGGTGCATGCATTGATCGCTTGAGTTAGCGCGGCCAAGACAGATAGTGGCGATGCTTTAGTTGTGGCGGTGGCTGTGGTGGCGGTGGTGGTTGTGGCGGGTCAGAGCATCCGTGATAAACCAAAACCGTCTTAGACCAACGACATGCGGCGGGATAATGCAACAGGAGATGGATTTAAATGCAGACTTTTGACAGCAATAGGTGTTCGGTTTTAAACAGGGTTCCGTTTGTTTTCACGATTAATTACGCTGGTCTTGAGGCAGCGTTGCATAATGTGCTTAAATTTCTAGCAAAATGTGCGCACATCCGTGTCGACACACTCATGATGCCCCGTTGAGAGCCGCCAACCACCCCTGGCTGCTACGGTCCAGAAAGTCTACCTGATGACTCGTACATACTTTATGAGCTTACCAGTCAGTTCACATCTATCTACTGTATTTGGAGCTCTCAAAAATGGCACATGTGCCTTGTAAGTTGCACTTTGGCTACACAGTGCAAATGCACAGCTGAATACACAGGGGACATTTGAAAGGCCAGAACTATCATGCAGTTTCTGGTTTCTTTCCTCGATATTTCTTTGAAGTTTGAATGCGTTAGAGCCAAACCTGTATTAATCCGGCGCGTTCTGTCTCTAAACATAGTGGTTTTGTCTATTGCCTGTTGCGCCGTGTTTTGTTTTTTTTAGCGGAGAAGGGGCGGCGATACGTGCCTGTTCCACCCCGGCTCCGCGCCGGTCGCAGCTGCCGCTTTTGTGGACCCATATTGGCAAACGGAAGCCTGGGACTTCTTGCAACCAACACAGTCTTATGCTCTCTTGTTTTTTTTTTCTCTCTTCATCATTTCAACATCTCAATTCTATCACCCTTTTTCGACACATCACAACAAACACCTCCGCCCACACCCTCGCGCACTCGAAAACACCACCGCTATCGCTCAATTTCACCGGCACACGCACACAGTCACGACAACTTATAGCCACAGCGTTGGTCGTTGCCATGCCGCCGGGAACCCGAGGCCGATCTTCTGCTGCGGCTCGTCATTCGACAACCCAAGCCCTCGTGGCGCAGATTGTGGAGGCCGTGAAAGAAGCCGCCGACGCAAGAGACGCCGCGGATGCGAATGTGCAGCGGCTTTGGCGCACCCTGTCCGACGCCTACGGAGAAGATCTAGCAGCCAACTCCCACCGATCTAAGCCGTTTCGGGAGTTCATCATGGAGGAGATTCCAGAAGAGGTCCTGCGATCTGTTCTAGAGTTTTCCTTCCAGACTTCCTTCAGAACAAATGCCGAAGCAAGGCTGCTGCAACAGGTCAGCCAGACGTTTGATCTGAATACGTGGGCCATTATCTACGTTGCCTTCGGCACCACCGTCTCAGCATCTCGCAGATCACTTCGAGCGTTGCACAAGTTAAAGAAAGCCCGTCCAGAATTGACGTTTGACGAAGTCGCCGATGCCGCTGAAGCAAGTCGTAAACGTCGTTTGGGCACCAAGTATCGTCCTGGGTTTCAGCCGCCCATGCAGCTCAATGACATCCTCACCGCGGTTGAATCTTGTACGGACTTTTCCCCTATTCACAGGCTCCACATGTATAATAATTGACTGACCCTCAGAGCTGGTGATAGTTGACGGCCCACAGAATCCAGAGCAGGAAGAGACAGGAGCCGACCAAGAGACAGAAGACGATCATGGGACCGAATCCGACCAAGAGACAAAAGCTGACCGAGAGAAAAAAGAGGAGGAGGCAGGGCAAGACGAGTCAGAACAGGAGGAACAGGGGCGAGGGCTCCTCAGAAACCCATCTGCCGATCAACAGACCCCCAAGGCCGCCGGCATAGATGCGGAAACGCCGTCACGTCTCATCGCCAGTCCTGCAAGCAACAGCACGCCAGCATGCGTCTCAAATTACTCCATCAACGATGGTTCAAGTCTTCTGCAAGTTTTCCAGCTAGAGGATGAGCACAACGCCGGAAACAACTCGGTGGAACCAGAAACAGGGCAAGGTGCCCATGCAGTACCGCAGAGCCCAGAGGGTCAAGAAGAGCTGGTGCCCGACGATTATTCCTGCAAACGTCTCTCATTCTCGTCTTTACCCAAGATCAGCCGCATTTTGCCGAGGGAAAGAAGCCTGGGGGTTAGTTTTGGCAACAACATGTTCGAAGTCAGTGATGATCTACGTTCACCCTCGCCAGCCCCTAAGACACCCTTCATCAAGTCGGACAAACCTCCCATTGATGAAGATGACAACCGGCACACCTCGTGGCTTCAGTCTGTTTCCTCAGGCTTCAAACTTCCTTGGAAATCTCCAGACGTCAAGTCGGCTTCGTCGTCAGGTGCTACCGCCAACGCCCATCTGGGAAAACGAGACTTGAAAGAAGAGTTAGAAGGGAATAAGCCGAAGCGCCCCAAACTACATGATTTTCATGATGGATCCACCGATCCAGGTCAGGACACGCCTCCGTCGATAAACAAGCCACCATCGGTTGATCATATCATTGATCTAAGTCCTTTGCGAGCTGGACAGTGGCTGAATGACAACATCGTGAACATGGCCACCGAGCTCGCAACGGCTGCCTCACCGAGCAGTTTTCTCTTCATTGAGTCATGGTTGTTTTCTAGCAACGCTCAGAAGTCAAGAGCGACCGAGATGAAACTTCAGGAGTCTCCCGAGGCCGACATACTGACGCCTATCAATGTCCAAAATACCCACTGGACTTTAATGCATATCCATCGAGCCACAAAGACCGCAATCATCTACGACTCGTTGGGACAGGGCCTCTCAACAGAGGAGAAAGCGCAGCAATGCCTCTGTCAGCTTCATCGCTTGTTCCCAAGTCATTTCCCGGAAGACATGGTCCTAGAGTGGGGGAAGTGCGCCAGGCAGCCAAATTCGAGTGATTGCGGCATTGCGACCATTATAAATTCCATATCTATTGCCTCGGGCTTATCGCCAGCACTCAGGATTCCCTGGAACGTCTATCGGCCATTGATAGGGTTTCTACTTGGAGTTCATGACGATGAAACAGTAGCCACTGAGCTGATTAAGAAGACAAAATTACAACCGCTTGAGACAGAATTGACAAGCATTCCGTGGAGAGCCGCGACGCCACCGGCTGAAACCTCACCAACCTCCCTTGCAGATGCTGTAATGCTCCAGCGGAAGATGAGTGAGGCCCTGGAGCGCGCAGAGTCACGCCGCCTGGAAGCTCTTGATGGCCTGATCAACGACAGGAGCGTAGAGGTCGACATGCTGAAAGAGATCTTCAATTCGTGCGAGATATTGAAGGACAAGGCAACGTGCACGGCCAACAAGGCCAAGGCAGATATTGATGCTACATTGAACGAATTCACAAGCCTCGTCGACAATGCATACCAATGGGTTATGGACCCCGCACAGTCAGAATGGGCGGTGGGAAGCGGCAGCCGGATGGATGAGCTCACTCAACAACGGCGCCGGGCGGAGAAGAGAAGCAGTCTTGCTGGTTTGGCCCGAAGGGGTTTTGAGAGAGTCAAGGATGAGCTAGCAACTCTCATAGACGCCTATCAGAAGAGCTTAGATGAGCTTAACCAGGAGAAGTCGCGCTGGGGGGTCATCGTGTCGCCTCAAGGACTAGCAACCGGCCGCTGTACGGCCTAGACTGTACATACTAAACCACAGGGGGACCGAGCAGAAGAGAAGTAGAAGTACCCGCCGATAGCTGCAGGTCACATACTACGTGGAAGGAAATCCATACGGGTTGAAACCAGCGAAGCCGAAACAAGTATCTTAATCATTTATATCACAGTAGCTGTTACTGATTTCTAACCAAATGAGACTAACAAGGAAAAAGTGCAACGACGTAGCAAACTTTACTTAAACGCGATTTATGTATCCATAAGCCTGGCACTAGTAGAGGACAGCATGATCGCGGATGCGGTCTATTTCAAAGTCAATCAAAACAGCCAAATCACATTTACGAAAGCATCTTGGGTACATGAATGGCACCAGTCAGGTCAACCAGGATGCTTCTGCCGCTGCACACGCCTAGCGCGATGACTGGTTGCTTCTAAGTCCAAACCCGAAGCGACTCCGCGTCAATTATGGCGAACTTGATGCCGATGCAATACCTCATACACAGCCTATGATGAAGGCAGAAGCAGGAGCCGCACAATATGAAACAACATATGCAAATCTTTCACATGCAGACAGGGCATCATCCTCATCATTCGGTGTTCGTAGTGACTCGGCTCTGCTGTATCAATCATCATCTCCCGTCAGGAGGATCGTCAGCAAGAATACATGGCGTCAACCAAGCCCACGATATCACGACATGATCATGAAGATGCTGATGGTGCTATTGTATGAATGAGCTGTGAAAATTTTGCTGCCAGAGCAGCTCTACGCCCTGGTGACTCGGGATGGAGGATTTGGCTGCTAAGGGCAAAGCTATTCTTTCCAAGTTGATCACTGTCCGTTCGCACACTTCTCTTTCTGCAGAGTAATATTACTGAACTGCTCTTGACTGACGCAATTTCATCCTCTGAGACATGGATGCGAAACACAAACACAAAAAATGGAAGCTTAAATGGGTGCAAGATACATCTTACGAGTCTAAAACAACAACTTCCCATCCCTCCTAGCCTAACAAGGCTACATGGCGAATGACACGTACACAAGAGCAGCTTGGCACCACGTCCAGTATACTTGATGCCACATTGATCTAGTCAAACGTAGAGGACTGCCACAGACTCGAGTGGTATGTTCTATGACACAGTCTAGATGGCAGAAGGTCTCCAACCACAATAAAAGGGCTGGTTTCTGCGTCTTCTTGAAGCAAGAAACGCCCTCTCTCAAAGACGCCGTCAAACGCTCACCTATCTGCTCCATGAACCATGCTGAATAGCCCGGGCGCTTGTTATCAGTATTGAGTATAAGATTCCGGGAGACAGATGGGTCGAGGCACTCAACTAGATCACCACTTGGCTGATTGCGCAGTGGGAGATGCTTAAAAATTAGGTCCTCGGGCACAGGTCGCCGACACCCTTGACGTCGCCCAGCACAAGTCCTTGGCAGCAGCCGCTTCCGGGCTCGTCTTTCTTCCAGGCGTCATTGTTCAAGGGCGCGACTGGTACACCTTCTCGAGATAACAAGGGCGGCAGATGGACAGACTCAGACCCAACGTTAAGAGAGGATAGTCACTCACTGCTATCAAGAGCTTCGAACCATCATGTCGACCTCAAATCGCCCGATATTGCTTGACACTGGCCAGCAATGCAAGAGCTGCGCTAGCATAACTCACCGACAAGTCAATCTGCAATGACGCTCCCAATCTGCTGATGACTTGTGGTCCACCCCTATTACAGACATCGCTCCAAGACTGCGCCATCACCACTCGCCCTTGCACCCAAGTTCACTATTGTCCTTCGGCCACTTTAAAGAGATCCACCAAACTTAGCTTTACTATGAACTTTGTAGCCCGCTCTCTAGGCTGTGGGCCCCTGAGACCCTATGTAAGGGAATAAGTGGGGTTTTCCTTAATAAGTGTATGTGTGGTGCAATGCTGGCACGAAGTGCCAACATTGGTTGATCTTTTGGGCATTTGCCTGAACGGTCTATGGACGGGCTTAGCACACCACCTGAGTTCCCTGACACCCTAATCCACTGTCCTCCTAGGCTTGGACTGACGGCTAAGTGCAAAGCTGGCTCTCGCTAGATGCCCATTTCGCTTGCTAGCAGAACCTAGAGCATGGCATACTACGCCCAGACGGCTAGGCTAGGTCGCCTGAGATAATTTAGGGTACCCGCCGCAGACCTGCACTGACATTACGGACCGCCTCTAACTGGTCTATGCCATAACACAGCCGGTTGCACCTTTAACCACATCTAGCAGCTTAATATAGTATTTCCTAATAGTTATTACTGCAAATTTACCTCTTTTACTATCCTACATGCCTAACAGCATTGAGTTTACTCTACATCCTTAGGCTAAGTTTGCCTATAGAGTGTATCTTAGTATTAAGAAGATAGGGGGCCCTTGATAACACATCTAGGATACTAGGCATAGTTGGTATAGATAGAAGACCTAGTATAAATTATTAGGCTCTAAGGGTAAGCAATAATAATTAATAGATATATTACTATTTTTATTAGGTAGCTTATACACTTGCTTTATAGTAATTAAGAGGACACATAAACAATAGTAATTATTAGACAGGTAAATATAAGCTAAAGAAGGGTGTTTATTTTAGTACTAAAGCTATATAGCTATTTCTTTTACAGGGTACACTATTAATAATACCCTACTGTTATATAGTATAATTATCTTTGCTTGCCTTATAGCATAAAGCTAGTAGTAATTAGAGCTTTAGAAATTTACTTGTTCTTTACTATGTCTAAAGTTCCTGCCTTTATCTTTGACTACTGCTCCTCCTTAGCCTCTATGTCCCCTCCTTCTTTTACTTTTTACTACTGCTTATATAGTTTAACTGCTAACTACTTCTTTACCTTGCTGTTCTAGTACTAGATATAGTTCTTGCCTACTAGGTAGTTAGGTACTTGCATTTAATTAGTGTTATATATAGATTTATAGGTTATAGTAATAATTAGAGCTATCTTATTTCTAGTATTTATAGAATTATATAAGTTAATTAAAGCTAATTAAGTCTATAACTAATTAACTGTCTTACTTAACTTATATAAAACCCTTACTTTTACAAATACTAAAACTACTATATCTGTCCCCTATTATTAATACTATTACCTTTTTAAAATTATTATAATTATTAATAACTACTTAATTTACATTAGTAAAAGCCCTCTTAAGTAGCTTTAAAGAAGGTTCTAGTACTAAGTACAAGTAAGGCCTTATTCTTAATACTTATTAAAGACTTAGTTAATTATATATAGGATATTACTTAGTTAATAATAGTTTTAATATTATTAATAACTATAAGGTTACTTATATTTAGCTTTAAAATATAAAAAAATCTTATAAATAAAATATTTAAGTTATTTACTTATAGACTAATTTAGCTATAAAGTAGTAAAGCTTATAGTTATTAGGGCACTTTTATATTATTCTAAATTAAATATATATAAAAGTAAAGAAAGCACTAGCCTCTATATATAGCTATATAAAGTATATTATAGCTATATAACTATATATAAGCCCTGGCTTAATTAACCTTACTAATTCTATAATATAAGTTATACTATAAGTAAATCTTATATTATAACAGGGGAGTAGTTGTATAAGCAAAAAGTGGCTTTTTTTATATCTACTTGGGTTTTGACAAAGTAAGCCCTGTAGGCCGCCGTAGACCGACCTGGTCTGGTGTAGAAGTGCTCTGAGCAACTGACTGTCTCCTCGAATGTCGGCATCTCCTCCGTCTATGATCCGTCGTGGCGACGCCTTGCTCATGGCCCTCGGAATGCCTGCTGTCCGTCATCGACATCTTCCATAAGCCAGGTCGTCGACCGCCGCTCTTTTCCCAAATGCCCTCCATACTCAAGACCATGCCTGCCTACTTGGCTGCCACGGCTACCCGGTGGCACAGGGCGTCAGCCACATAGAGGGGAGGGGCTGCTGCTGCACAAAACGCTAGTGAAAAGCTTAGGTACATGCTGCAACGCGCTCTGTCGCGTCAGTACTCCGTACCTAACTAGGTACATATTCCAATGGGGCATAAAGACCGTTTCAGTTAGTACGTATCACGGAAGCAGCCGCCATTTCTTTATCACTACATTGTTGTCACCGTATGGAATACTTACAAAGTACCTACTGGAGTACGTAGTGCCCGCTACACGTTATTTGTGGGGAACTGTCGGAGGTTTTTCTACGGCAGTTCCCCACCCCGTCTATCTGATTGGCTCATACTTTCTTGGTGGCAGGCCCACCTTCTGTGTCACAGCAAGAAATGGTGTTAGGTTGTCATGCGGCTCAATTCGTCACCATTATCAGGATTAGGCCCTGTAACGCGTACAGCAGAAACCCTGTGTTAACTCTACTTCTCCCCCCGTTTCCACAGCCAGTATACATTGTACGTTCTTGTAAACGGTGTATAGCTCCTGGATGTCGTCAGCACTCGGCCTAGGTCCTGCTTCTGTCGTGGCCTCGGCGTTGCCTTCGCCTTGCCGTCGTCGTCAGGGCACGGAGTCCGCGCAGACTTGGAACCAGGGCTGGCGTTTCTTCTCCCTTGGCCGGGAGCCTCCACCTCTGCAGCCCGAGGATTCGATGCAGACACAGCAGCCTTTCTAGAAGATGGAGGGCACTTGTCACCGGCAGGTTTGTCTTGGTTCTCTGTACTCTGTGGCAGACCTACATCGGCCAGCTCCGATTCAATCACATCGATAGGCTCGATGTTGTGGTGGGGCTGGAACGATGACGCCGCTTCCAACTCCCTTCTCAACGCCTCCTTTTCCACCTCGTCATTGGCACCTTCTTGGCCTTGGCTCTGGCCCCCGACAATCAAGCCAGAGGTTTTCCAAAGCGTTTAAACTAGAATCGCATCTTAGATTATAGACAACAAGCCTGTTAATGTAGCTAATCTACTATTGAACTTCTCTTAAGAACCAGTGAGTTAGCTGGACTCTTGGTAGCCTATGTGGTTTTTGACTAATATCTGGATGTCCTCTAGTGCGCCAGGCAGACGGACGGACACAGTTGCAGCATCTTTGCCATTCCAGCGACGGCTCGCGGTGACGCTGACAGACTGGCATCTCTCAAGCTCCTGGTGCCTTGTGCCCCTCCGAATGTTACATCGCACACACCTTTGGAACAGCTTGGCGACTCAGTCGATAATACGCCTGTCGATATACTAAAGACGGATCCGGACGGAAATGGGCACGCATGCGTCCCAACGCCAGTCCCATTCCAAGTTACCCAAACGCCAGAGGTCAAAATGCAACACCATCTGCCAGCAGTGGCGGCAGTGGAAACAGCCCTTGTGTCAACACCGCCGAGGGACAAGAAGGGTGCCGACTCTTCAACGGCAGCCTTCGCTCTTCTCACAGATATGGCGCCGGACTACGTCAATCATATGAAGGCCGCAGCCAGCCTCAGGCCTTCAGTCGCCGCCAAGTTGCAAGCCGAGAAAAAAGCCATCTCCAGAAAGTTGTCCCAGGTCAACCATTTGCGAGAGACGTACGACGGTATAGAGCAGCTGTGCGCCCGCCGCGTCGAGACGGACGGGGAGATACAGCGCTTGGACCTAGAGAAGACCAAGTGCGACAAAGACATGTCGGCGCTGTGGTCCGTGGCAACCAGCACTAATGGCATACCGTATCCTCTCGTGAGATTGAGAAAACGCTAGTAGGAAGGCTAGCTGCTAAAGGCAGTACGCTAGCCCAGTTACGCTAGCGTAGAATTAGCGCGCTAAGCTTTATATAGAAAGCGGTCAGTTAGCTGACCCCACCTACCTTTTTGCCAGCCAGCCAGCCAGCCCATCCAACCTATTCAACCCATCTAGATCCCTGTTTCTGCCAGCAGACTATACCCCTTACAGCGGCCGTCAAAGCGGCCGCCATACCCCTTGCCGATTAGCGTTTTCTCAATCTCACGAGAGGATACGGTAGTAACGGAGCACCTGAGCGGATGCCTCCGCGCCACAATACAGGCAAGTTATGACGGTTGGGTAACACAGGTTCGGTGTAAGGCAGCTAGCCTAGAGCGAAGACTTGTTGTGGCTCGGGAAGAGTCTGAAAGCCCGGGACGTTTGATGCAGTACAGGAAAACGGTCGATGAGGAGTGTACCATGCTGATGCAGAAGGAGGGTGAGTCACCTCTGGCCTTGAGAATGCTTGACGGTTCTTGCTGGTAGGCAGAGTAGGAATGTGGTACTGGGTCGCTGGGATCGGCGTGATTTAAAGACACGACGATGTACATGCGTGATAGCAGTTGCTTCAAAGACCATTCGTAGTATTCACATGGCTTTAGTATCAAACCAGGCAGGCAGCTTATCGTGAGGAAACACCCGTCACGGACGGCGACGTCGCCCGGGTGGGACTAACGGGCGATTTCTCCTAGGATGCCCTGCTGCGCGAAGTGGTTGTCGTGGCTGTCCCGCAGGGCCAGCGTCGGGCGGTCGAGGGGCTGATCTGACGACAATAGGAACTAGATTGATTCAAGATGCATGGCGACAGATTCATCCAGCCTCGCGTCGATGGCGCGGTTCGACCGCAGGGCATGGGTTATCTTATCTGTTGACTATCTTATCTACAGTCCGTTGCGCTGGCAGCGCGCAACACCACCATGTCAACTGATGCAAATTTGCGTTTTTGGCTAGCAAAATCAGAAATCTGCATTTTTTAACATTTAATAGAAGAGATAGTCTAGAATAGTAATCCTAGGGAAGAGTAATGTTAGCCTATCTAGATATCACTGTTGCCCATCGCAATATATCCAGATAGGGGCTAGCATCACCATTGATACCCATCGCAACATATCCAGATATATCCAGATAGACTAGCATTAATCTTCCCTATAGGGTTACTATTCAAGACTTTCCCTTGTATTAAATGTTCAAAAATGCAGATTTTTGATTTTGCTAGCTTGAAAAACGCAAATTTACATCAGTTAACATGCTGTTAACATGCTGTTGCCAACGCACGTACGAAAAGCTGGGGTTTAGACGCTGCTACGCAATAGACTACACTGAGGCCCTGCTGGGTCCTGAGGCCCCGCTAGGTTTTGGTGCGAAAAGTGACAGGGCCTCAGGTACGTACCTTCCTTCTCTGTTCACATCGCAGCCGTTTGTTTTGTCACCCGTCCAATCTCTCTTTCTTCCCACCTCCTTTTTCTTTTCTTCACATCCTCCGTTGGCCTTGCGGTACACTCTTCCTTTACTTTCACTACTTTTCCGTCTCTCGCTATCCACAAAGCCACACAATGGAACGCCCCAATAACGCTGCTGACGGAAGGGATGAGTCTGTAAACCTGTCATTCTAAGCCCTAACAAGATGTGTGCTAACCTTTGGAACGGGGGGGGGGGGGGGGGGGTTAGCAGCACCAAGCAATCACAGCATCTCTTCCCCCCTGTTGACCAGCTCAACGTACCGCTCCCTGGCCATGATCGATCGCCCACCTCCTTTGCGACTTTTCTCGAAAGCCGTGCCTTAACTTCCACCAAGTCTTCACGATGCAACAATGGCTATAATGCCTCTAAGACCTTGGTGCCTTTTAGCCTGCTATCTCCTTCTTGGTCTGAATCTTCCACGATTACCCTAGATTTTGGAGCATCTCTTGCTGCTACTCTACGACTTGATGTAACTAAGAACTTCTAAGCCAACCTTAAAGCCCTCTGCTACTTATAGGTAGTTAGCTCCTACTAATCCAATAACGTTACTATTTACCTCCCCCTAGACCAGCTTAACAAGTTTAAGGAGTACGTCACTAAGTTAACTGCTAGTTACTTCTATTACTAATTCCACACTAGTCGCGCTAATGTAGTCATAGGCAAGGCTGTTATCCACTTCTGCTCCTCTAAAGGTGTAATAAGTCTTGTTAAACACGCAATTAAGGATATAATCCCTACAGTCTATAAAGCCACTACCTACCCACCTGTCTCCCCTAAGGGAGCCAACATTACCTAGCAATTAGCCTCACGCCTCGCCAATATTCAAGATCACAGCACTGTTAATGTCAAAGCCTCACGCATGTGGAAAAGACAGCCTGACGCCCAGTTTCGCGAGGTCGGTCTCGGCATCTACTCCCTAGAGTTCCCTTGCTTTATTGTTAAGACCGCCTTTAGCCAGCCCGCCCGCGATGTCGCGGAAAGGGCCTAGTCCTATATCCAGGACTCAAACGGCTAGATATACGTCGTCCTCGTGCTCAATATCCAATATCCTGACGCCTTCAACGTTGCCTCTAGCCTTTGGGCTGCAGACCTGACTAGACCCGACGCCGCTCCGTTCCTGGCCTCGGCCGCCCAGCTGTGTGGCATCAGTGATGGAGACACACGAGTCCAAGACAATCAAAAACAATTGGAGGGTGGTATTCCCTTGTTTGCGTCTGATTTCCTTTGCGGAGACCCGCGTGAGGTTCCGGCCCATCTCATACACCCGTCTACGACAGAAACCATAGCATCTTGGTACACTTATCTGTCCCCTCCGCCGTGACTATTTTTTAACGTTTGTTTGCTAACTCAATTGGAAGCAGACCGGCCCAAGCTGAAATCAGCCTGGCGCAGCTCTACGACGTCTGCGTGTCGGCGCGCTGCAACCATCAAGAGCAATAAGCGGCCAAAAAGTATCGAGAAGAAGTGGCCAAGGGCAAAGCGTAATGGGCCCTGGGCGCCAAATGAATGGCTTGAAGGATGAAAAATTGGAACATGGGTCATGGAGCACTACGGAAGAATAGAACAACGGATGAAGGAGTATGGACCACGTAGGGTTTTAGTTAACTCGTATGATACCCAAGGCAGGGCTGCGCTTTTAATGCGTTTGACCACGGCATAAACAATAATTATGTCTGAGCATATTATATATTCTTTCATCTCACCTCTTGACTCGAACCTCTTGTCTGTTCAACACGTGGCAAACATGGTGCAAAGAGGACGGCGCAGTCGGGCCTCGTCGACGGCGCAAGATACTCGCGATATGATACATGTTACTTGGTCCGCATCTTGGCATATCCTTCACTGCGATCCATGGCGTTGTTGCTGTTGATTACAACCATCCATCCAGACTTGCCATGAGGCGAGGCCCCTTCTTCTGCCAGTATCCTTTGCCGTTAGCTCTGGCTGTGTGACAGACGAGTGTGACCTTGGCGGCCCAGTCACGTCAGGTGAGCTAGCACACGATGGGGAAATGTTGACTACCGAAGAGATATATTACAGCAGCAGACCGCTTGCTCTAGCAAATAGAGCAGGGAGATTTCTAGTGGCCCACGGCCATTGTCATTGAAGCGAGTGTGGGGGGTGCACGAGTCATGTGACATTTCCCTTACCTATTCTGGATACAAAGCTGCTGGCCATTGGTTACTTCGCCCAATGCTATATATTTCACACACAGAACCTAAAACCAGCCCAAGTTCCAAAGCCCATCTCCACCCCTAAAGGGGATTGGATTACCGTATCCTCTCATCAAACACGAAGTCCGCACAGGCCACAGGCTGCTGGAAAGGGGTAAGCGGGCTGGCAGAAACAGGGATCTAGATGTGGCAAATGCAGGAATTCATTTACGTCAGCAGCAGGTAGGTGGCAAGGGTTAGGGTTATATGGGTGGGTGTGTGTGTAGGTAGGTTGACCGCCTGTTATAATGGGACTAGCGTATGGCCTGTGCGGACTTCGTGTTTGATGAGAGGATACGGTATCTGTGATCCCCGGTCTACACCAAGCTTGATCCAAGGTTTCGTCTGTGTGTTGGCAACAGCATGTCAACTGATGCAAATTTGCGTTTTTTTAGCTAGCAAAACCAGCAATCTGCATTTTTTAAATCTGTCGCAATGCCTTCATAACATCGCGCAGCCTTGCGACATTTGGTCCGGGCCAGATTATCAGATAGTCCTAGCCAGGCTATTAGGTAATCCATACATCTGCCCCATATCTGACTGCCCAGCTCCACCACGACAATACATATTTCTACATGTCTAGCCAAGCAGTTTCACACAAGGAATAATTCAAGCCGTTTTACTATGACTTTTCTTAACCAAAAAGGTGCCTCGTGACAGCAACAGACTGTACTTCAACAAACCTTCGTTCGCGCTGTGTAGCATTAGCCACGACAGTTCAACCATTAGATTACAGACGAATAGAAACTTCAGTTTAGGGATTAATATTTATAGATTATAGGTATAGAGAACCTAAATACTATCCATGTACATACAAGCAAACTCATCTACAGTCAAGTTCTCGTACAAAGTACCACAGTGACGATCCGGAAATGTCCAGAGGCGTTCCATCAACCTGCCCGTTCGTCTACCGATGCCTCCCCAGCCCATCAGCCACCCACGCTAGCCAGACAAGGATGGTTGATGTTCAAGAGAGGCACCGGTAGTTGACAAGAGCTATTCCCTTGACAGGATTCCTACAACTGCAGACAAATTGTCAACTCATTCATCACTCCGTTGGCCAGACGAAAATAAAGAATAACGCAGACATGTGTACAGCAGAAGCACAATTCCCGTTTCCAATTGCCACCCCCGCAATGCCTTCACTCCTGGCGCAAATCCCGAGTTGTAGTCTCAGCCCCATCTCCCCTTCACTCAGTAAGGAACACCCCAAGCAGTAGCGTGCTGCCTAGGCATCCAGAACCGAGAGCGATGGGAGCAGAGACAAGGGATTGTGGAAAGTGAGGGAATGTTACCAAGTGAGAT